CGCCCAAGCCCAGAGTTCAAGCCCCATGACCAACCAAAAAAAAAAAAAAAAGAAGATTGCTTAGATCTGGGAGTTCAAAGCCACGCTGGGAAATGCAGCAAGGGAAAAAAAAAAAAAAGCTTTGGCAAACAAATCCATCATAAAATTTTGCTTTTCCCATCATGGGGCTTGAATTCAGGGCCTGGGTGCTGTCCCTGAGCTTATTCGCTCAAGGCTTATTCACTCAAAGCTTAGCTCTCTACCACTCTGAGCTACAGTTCCACTTCCGGTTTTCTGGTGGTTAATTGGAGATAAGAAAGTCTTTCCTGCCCAGGCTGGCTTTGAACTGCTATCCTTAGATCTCAGTCTCCTCATTATCTAGGATTATAGGTATGAGACCCGGTGCCTGGCTGTTCTTTTGTTTTCTATTTTGATGTGGAGAAAACTACAGAAGATGAGAGATGTCGGTAAATTTTAGAATTCAGAAATTAAATAAAGTAGTGGCAGCTAGCCTGGCAAAGTAGAAGAAGGACTAATATAAGTATTTGGAAGAGACTTAGCACTGGGAAATTCTGTACTGTGGAAGGCAGGGGTTAGGCCCCAGAGTGAAGGATTATCCTAAATTTAACTCGAAGCTTTGGGGTCTTTGCATCCTTTTGTCTCCTCATCCAGCCAGTATACCCCAGTGCATCCCACTCTAATGGTACTACAATCAAAGCCATCCCTCTGTGAAGTCACTTCCTGTGGAGTTCTCAGTCTTGGCGTGATTGACATTTGGAATGGGGTATTAGTGGGAGGTTGTTTTGGGCATTGTAAGATGTTTAGCAAAAGTCCTGACCTCTGCTTATTAGATGACAGTGTATCCCCTGAGTTCCTGTCATGACAACCCTAAATTCCTCCAGCTGTTGACACATGGCCCCTGTGGAATTAATCAGATGCATCAACTCTCTCTGACTTGGCTCAGACAAAAGAAAGAAGCAGACATGTTCAATAGACTAACGCTTGAGAATAATATAGATGTTCTAAAACCCTAAAGAATTCACAAAGTGAATTGTAAAAAAAATGGAAGAAAAGAAATTAGCAGAGAAATAAAGGGAAAAATTATAGATAAGATTAAAAGGATCCCTTATACTAAAAGAAAGATACAAAGAAAGAAAGAAAGATACATCATTGTGGAATTTCAGACTTCCAGACTTCCAGGGACAATGAGAAGATACTAGAAACAAAAACAAGTGAGACACAAAGGTGATCAGAAATCAGCAGACATTTCACCAGCAACACTGGGAGTAAAACAATGGAAGAATGTTTTTTACAAGGTTGGCGGAAACTCAATGTCAACGTCTTTGAACTATTAATCAGGAATAAAAATATTTTCAGACGTAAAAGTACTCTAGTATTTATTCCTAAGTACTCCCTCTGAGTAAGCTACTTTGTCTTTAAAAAAAATAGGAGTAAACTAAAAAGTCCATGTTTAGGCATTGGAAGATATTGATGGGAATTTGATATGTTGAAGAAAGAATGGGTAAAGGTTAGATACAGGGCTTTTTTTTCTTTTCAATGGAAGAATCAATTAGAGTCTGAAGAGGGATAAAAAAAAATGTTATCATAGCATGTTATTTGGTTCAGCAATGCATTCTGTTTATATTGTCAGGATGATGTAAGCCCTCACTGTTGTTTGTTTTGGTATATCTAATTGAGAGCAAGGGTGGGGCAATATAGTGCTAATGGTAGCATGAGATAGGTCCTTCATACTCTGATAAGATGTCAGTACGCAGTGTCTGAGAAACGGTAGAAACATTGGCATAAGGAAATGAGGAACACTCATCAGGATTATTAGGAACGTGGAGTGGAGACAGACGGAGGCTGGTAGGACTTGTGCATGGCTTTTGTTTTAAGCTTTTAAGAACCATTTGAGTTTTCACTTACTTATATTGATTTTATGAAACATAAAAATGCAACTGGGCCCTGGTGGCTCATACATGTAACCTAGGTACTCAGGAGGTTGAGATATGAGGATCCTGGTTCAAAGACAGCCCAGGCAGCAAAGTCTGTGAGACTGTCATCTCCAAATAACCACCAAAAAGTTGGAAGCAGAGTTGTGGCCCAAGTGGTAGCCTTGACCTAAAAGAAAACAAAAAAACAAAATACCTCAGGGACAGCACACAGACCCTGAATTCAAGCACCAGGATTGGCACACACACACACACACACACACACACACACACACACACACACACACACGTACACACACGCACACACACACACACACAAAAGTAAAAATGTCAACAAAAGCAGCACACATACATGGGGGGGGGGGAATCACATAAAGTAGGCACTCCCCTAAAACACAAAACATGTCCAGAATTTCAGAGATGTTGTTTAATATCTTGAATTATTTTTTTTCCTGAAACTTACAAAATTATTCTCTCTCCTTCCTTCCTTCTTTCCCTTCCTCTCTCCCTCCTTCCCTTTCTCTCTCCTCTTTTGCTGTCTCTTGATAAGGTCTTACTAAGCAGCCCAGGCTGCTCCATACCTATGATCATTCTGCCTCAACCCCTCAAGTGCTGGGATTACAAGTGTTTACTATTAGATTTGGCTTTTATAAAAAAAAATCTTGATACACTAAAATGGAACAGTGCAGGCAAAGTAATACCTGAAGTTGTTCACTATTTCTTTTAACTCAAATCTTTTTTTTTTCTTTATTTTTGCTGTGCTGATGGTGAACCCAGGCCCTTCCACATGCTAGGTAAGCACTATAACTTTTGAGCTATACTTCTATCCCTAATCAAAACCTTTCCAATCAAAATGTTTGCGTTGTTTGGGTTACATCTTTATAAACATCAGAAAAGTGGAATTTTTCCCACAATTGTTGGTGTTAATTTTCTTGATAATTTAGAAAGAAGCAGCTTGGATCTCAAGTTTTGAAAACAGTTGGGTCTGTTTCACACCTGTACTAAGTTACTCAGGAGACTAAGATTTGAGGATTGTGGTTCAAAGCCAACCTGGGCAGGAAAGTTCATGAGCTGCTTATCTCCAATTAACCAGCAAAAAGCTACAACTGTTCTACCATTTGAATCACAGCTCAACTGCTCTACTTGAGCTGTGGCTCAAGTGGTAGAGCATCAGCCTTTAGTGAAAAAGCTAAAGGGCATCATCTAGAGCCTGAGTTTAAATCTCATCACAGACATTAAAAACAAAAGGAGTTAAAGAATTTTGCAAAAGAAATTCATTAAGGAAAATTGATTTCAGACAAGTTTTTGTATTTGTTTTTTCTTTAAGTGAAGGCGAATACATTTACTTCTGTTCATAGAGGCCCAACGATAAGGAATCAAGTGAGCTGCAGAAAATAGTTATTTCTGGGGTTTTTACTCGGCCTGGTTTGTTACTGTTAGTGTTAAATAATTATACATATCGATGAAAGAATGATTCACGCTTATCAGGAGAGACCAAAGCAATGAACAGCCACCCTTGATAAACATGGGAGAGTATCTGTAAGACATGGTCTTGATATAGCAGCTGGAAATGACATTGTGAAATATGTCTTTTTGGACTGACCACACAGATCTCCACCTACAACCAACCTTCCCACTGATAGTAATAAAGCAGGTATGGAACAAATCAAGGTAGCTAGGTCCTGTGCACAGTGTGGTCAAAGTGCAGTGATGCCCTGCTACATTCTGATTCTGGGGAGAGAACACCAAATGGTGAACTTGAGGGAGGAGGAAGGCAGGTCCTGTGCAGACAAGTTTTTGTCTCTATAAGGTGGGGGGGGGGGGGAGGGTGTAGAAAATTACCTTTCTATCAGTCTGAGATTTTTCTGATAAGAACTGTTTTCAGAAATGGAATCATCATTCCCACTTTATAGATGAACAGATTGTACGTCAGTCAGGTTAGCTAAAGCTAAGTGTCTCTAATAAGAGTCCCAGGTTCTGACTTTGATTCCCTTCCTTCCTTCCTTCCTTCCTTTCTTCCTTCCTTCCTCCCTCCCTCCCTCCCTCCCTTCCTGTTCCAGGGTTTGAACTCAGAGCCTTCTATTTGCTAAGTAACCATCTACCTACTGAGTCACACTCTATCCCTTCTGTTGCTTTTCTAGTTGAAAAGAAATAGGAAGATGTGTGAAGATGTGTATTTTCGGTGTTTGTGTGCATGTATGTATTAGGTTAAATATGTTAGCTCTACCGATGGATATTTTTCTCAAAGGATCATTTCTCTCAAATTATTATTCATGGAGGGAGGGGTGAGATGGTTTCTTTAGGATGTACTTCTTTTCAAATAAAGAAAAGGAGAGATTTAACTCCTGAGGAGGCTGAGATTTGGGGATCATGGTTTGAAGCCAGTTTGAGCAGGAAAGTCTATGACATGCCTATCTCCAGTTAACCACCAAAAAATCTGCAAATAGGGCTGTGGCTCAAGTGGTAAAGCACCAATCTGAGCTACACACCCAAAGGGCAGTGCTCAGACCCTGACTTCAAGAGCACACACGCGCACACACACACACACACACACACACACACACACACACACACACACGGGGGGGGGGGATTTGCTATTGCTTTTTGCACATTATAATAGCCTAACTATTCCTTTTCTGGATTTTTATTCCAAATCCTCCCAGCCGGTGGATTCAGGTTACGTGGCAGTGTGGCAGGCAGGCCCTTGGTAACTTGGTCAGCTCCACTGAATGCTAAACTTTATTCATTTAGGCAGCTAGGGACTTACTGCCAGCACCAGCAACGCAAACCCTTCCCACCACACCCTGACAACTGGCGGGTGGAGAATGTAGGTGGGTGGCTGGGATCGAACCCAGGGCCTCGGGCACGCACTAGAGCAGCTCTTGGGCCGGCCTGCCCCGGGGGGGGGGCGCTGGGGGAGGTAGGAGGCTTCCCCCCTCCCCGCCCCCCCTCCGGGTCCCGGCTGCACCTGCCGCCCCAGGAGGCCTGGGCGGGGCGGGACTCCACTTGGGCCACGTAAGACGTGGCGGGCCCGGGCTGCCCTTCGTCCCCTTCGCCAGGACCGGAGCGCGCCGTCCGTGCGCACAGAGTCGGGGCATTTAAGGCAGCATGCCAGTCCACAGGCCGAGGCGGTCCTGGCTCTCGAGGGTGCTGGGCACAGGCTCGCCCGGTTCCCCCCGCTCCTGAGGGCAGCCCGGGAGCCGCTCGGCGGGGTGAGGTCGTCCGGGGACCCCGGACGCGGACCCCCCTCTGCAGGTACGCGGGGAGCGCAGCGGACCCCCGGACCCGCGTCCCCGCGCCGAGCTGGGCCCCGCCGCCGGCCTCGGGCCCCGCCCACGTAGATCGGAGCCGGAGCCGGAGCCGGAGCCCGGCCGGAGCCCGAGCCCGAGCCCGAGCCCGGCGGCCGCGGCCCCTTTAAGGAGCCGCTCTGCGGTAACCCGAGCCCGCAGTCCGGGCGGGCGCGGCGGCGCCGGAGCCTCGGCCACTGCTCCTCCCGGCGGCGGCCCGGAGCCCGCGGCTTCCCCGGCTCCCGCCCGCAGTTCGCGGGTGGCTCCGGCCGGCACCCGCCTCGGGGGCCCGGCCCGATGCCCCGGCGCCTGTGACCCGCGCCGCTGCAGCCCCCCCAACACCCCGGCCTGGCGCCGCGAGCCGTCCCGGGACCCCGCACAGGTGACGCGGTTCGGCGGGGATCGGGGCGGCGGGCGGGCTCGTCTTCGCCCCGCGCGGCCCCGGGTGCTGGCAAGGGGCGCCGCGGCTCCCGCCCCCGGCCTAGCGCGGCCGTGGCGGGGGTGAGGCGGGGGTCCGGCGGGGGTGCGGCGGGGGGTCCCGGCTGGGGGCTCCGGCGGGGGTGCGGCGGGGGTCCCGGCTGGGGGCTCCGGCGGGGGTCCCGGCGGGGGGTCCCGGCTGGGGGCTCCGGCGGGGGTGCGGCGGGGGGGTCCCGGCTGGGGGCTCCGGCAGGGGTCCCGGCTGGGGGCTCCGGCAGGGGTGCGGCAGGGGTCCCGGCAGGGGTGCGGCGGGGGTGCGGCGGGGGTCCCGGCTGGGGGGCTCCGGCGGGGGTGCGGCGGGGGGGTCCCGGCTGGACTCCGGCGGGGGGGGCGGCGGGGGTCCCAGCAGGGGTGCGGTGGGGGTTCCGGCTGGGGTCGGCAGGGGGGAGGCTGGGGTCCCGGCTGGGGGCTCCGGCGGGGGGCGGCGGGGGTCCCGGCTGGGGGTCCCGGCAGGGGCCGGCGGGCGCAGCATCCCTGCCCGCGGCCGCTCCGGAGCAGGTGGTGTCCGGGGCCCACGGTCCTGCCGCCCCCCCCCCCCCCCTGCACCCCGCGTCTCCCCGCTCCGGCCCGGCGGTGCATCCAGGGGAGCTGGGGGTCGGGGTGGGGGGTTCGCATCCCAGTGAGTGTGTGTGCGACCCGTGGGCATCCGGGGAACGCTGGCTTTCTGCCCCCCTCTACACCCCCCCCCCACTGGATCAAGCATGCCAAATGGCAACACCCCCCACCCCCGCGTCTGTCTAAAACAAGTGGCTTTTATTTCCCCAGGCAGCTCCCCCAGGCGGGGGGATGGGGGGGTCCCATTCTAGCCACTGAGTCAGAGGGAGAAACTGTTGGTGCTTTTATTTTTAATTTAAAATTCTAGCTGTACTTTGGTACACCCCCTTCCCCCCCCCCCCCCGCCCCGTTGATCAAACGAAGTCCCTCAGTTTGCACAGCCAGGAAATGGGTTTTGCAACGTCAGCATCTCCCTACCTTGTCAGCGAGGGGGGAAAACCCCTGGGAAGGTCCTCTGAAGCTGTCCAGGTATCACGTTAGGAGCACCGGCGGGTCGTCAGGCTCTTCTCAGTGGTATTCATTCGAATGTGAATGTGCTGGTCCTTCTATGAAATTGTAGGTTTTACTTGGCAGTGATCTTTGGTGATGTTTAAATACAGATACCCCTTTGGAGTCGCAGAGGGAAGAAGAGTTCGTGTGGATGGTGGGATTGATGTATGAAACAGGCCAATAAAAGCGTTACATCGATGGAAACTGAGGGAAGATAGACCTTGGATGGCAGGTGGTTTTAGTTGAGTTACTGCAGTGTGAACTCCTGGTGTAAGGAGCTCACCTTTGGAAGAATCCCAGTTCCCTTTTAAGTGTACTAGTGTACTAGTCAAACTATCTCCCCTTGGGCCTAATCTTCCTTCTGTGGGATGGGTTAGATGAACTCTGAAATTCGTCCACCTTCCATTGTAATGGCTTGAGGAATGGTGGGGTGGAATTGATTTGCCAGCCCTTGCCTGTGCCTTGTGGGGACCTGGAGAATTATTTACTTTGAGGCTACTTCTGTTTTTCTTTCCTCTGCAACACCTTTAACCACATTGCTGCCCTCAGACTTGACTGTGTGGTCTTGTTTATCTGTCTAGGCCAGATGCCTTGGAAGCCAGCTGCTTAGTCATTACTATTAGCTTTCCTTTCTTCTCTCTCCACTCCACAGGTTCTATACCCCAAAAGAAAGATTGATGGCTCTTTGCTGCTCACACCCTGTGCTGACTTGAAGGTGACTAGAACTGGCTGCCGACACTTTATAGCAATCCCCAGAGAAGTTTAGATCTTTGCCAGGATCATATGAATAGACCCCCACTGTATGGATTCCAGAACAGATGTTCCTTACTTTTCTGAAATCTTCTTGGGGAAGTTCTTTTGGTTGATAAGGGGAGCCTTGAGGGCTGGGAAGTAGGAGTAGGCTTAGGAGGGTTGAGAACTTCCCTCCCAGGATCCTCCCCTTCCCTGGAATGCTGGCTTGCCCCTGTGAAATGGGAAGGGGTAGGCTTGTGAAAAGGGAGTGGTGCATTCTTGGGGCTAGTTCTGGAGTGTGTTGGGCTTGAGGTTTATTTAGTAGACCCTCTGTGTCCTCAGGCTTTGAGAGTTTCTTGTTGCTCAGCGTTTGGTGTGGCAGACCTTTCAGCCACCTGTGGCCTTCTGAAGGTGGTCCCTGGTATCTGTGTTCTCTCAAAGCTGGCATTTTTTTTCTTCTTCTTCTGTGTTGGTGCTTGAACTCAGGGCCTGGGTGCTGTCCCTTAGCTATTTCTGCTCAAGACTGGCACTCTACCACTTGAACCACAGCTGCACTTCAGGCTTTTTGGTCATTGATTGGAGGTAAGAGTCTCACAGATTTTTCTGCCCACTGTCTTCAAACCATAATTCAGAGGTCTCCGTTATTCTCAGATGTCTGCCTCCTGAGTAGCTAAGATTACAGGTGTGAGCCACTGGTCCCCTTCTCTCTTCTCTCGTCTCTCTTTACGTCAGTACTGGGGCTTAAATTCAGGACCTTACTCCCCTGATTCTTTCTCTTGCTCATGGCTGGTGCACACATCTCCACAGTTCCAGTCTAGCATTTTGCTGGTTAATTGGAGATGGAGTCTTGGAGACTTTTGGCTCAGGCTGGCTACCACTTGACATCCTCTGGGTCTCAGCCTCTTGAGTGGCTAGGATTACAGGTGGTTCCTGGTTTGGTTTTACATGACTTAGAGGACACCAAACAGTTAAAAAGAAACCCTTCAGACCACATTGTCTCTGTTTACCTTTCTTTCCAAATTGACATCCCATCTTGTACAGATGAAAGATTCATTTTGGTTTCCGTATCTCTTGGAAAGCTAAAAAGTAGGATATTCTGTTTGGTTGAGAAGAGCAAGCTGAGCCGGCTACAGGGATACAGAAAAGTTGTTTTTCTTTTGATGAAAGACAATGAATTAATTGTCTAGGTGAGAATTGTGGGCAGCCTGGTCAGAGCACAGCGGGCATGTGGGTAGAGTTAGTTTGGACATCAGGTTCACACTAAGCTTGTCACCTCTCTGTGCTGGCCTCCTTCCATTCGCCCCGGGAGAGAAAGAAGAGAGCAGAGCCATTTACCCTTAGAATGGCGAATGGGGCTTGAACTGAACCTTAGGCCTGGCTGTTTTTACCTGGCATTGGGAAAGAATGCATCACATCAGGAGATGGAGGCTAATTTTGTAAGAAAGCTGAAGGTACTTCAAGAGTGACTTTGGCCCGTATTTGTTCTGATTGAAGATGAAAGGCAGGATGCAAAGAATTGGAGCTCATGCTGCTCCGAGGCCTGCTGTTCCTGGCAAGGCAGTTGGATGTATTACAGGCCGAAGGGAGCCCCGAGAAGGCAGGATTAGGCAGCATGAGCAGAGGTGTTTCCATGCACAGAATATTGGTGTTTTGGGGAAGAAGCTTATGAATGAACATCAAAAGCCAGCATTTTTTTTTTTTTTTAAAATAGCTGACCAACAAGATAGCTAGAAGTCTTCTCAGAGCTTGAGCCAGTGTGGAGAAGTGTTGCCACTGGGTTGAGAGGGAAGTCTAACTCGATGGCAAAGCCTTGTTGAAAGTACTGTTTCCAACTTTTTTTTTTGGCTACCATAGTACAGAATGCATTTTTTTTTCTTTTCTTTTTTTACTTTGAGACACAGAACAGGAGTAAGTAATCTGTGTATCTGAAACAAGTTTCTATTTCTGTTTCTCTTCTGTGTTCTTTAGAGCTCTTGACCTGTGAATGATTCACGGTCCACTATTTGGAAGCCATTCGTCCGATGAGGAGTGGGGGGGTTGAGGAGGGTGGAGATGGTAGAGAAGGTGACCCAGCTCTCTGCTCTGCTGGTGAGAACAGAAGGAATGTGGGAATTCATCTGCTGTCTGACGGGTATAGGACTCACATAGATAAAAGGCAGCTGGATGGGGCAGGTGCTAGAAGGGCCTTCCCACAGTTCCTTGCAAGGAAAAGCCAAGAAACTGGGTTTGGAGGACGAGGAGGAGTGTATTTGGATTGAAAGCAGATCTCTTTAGATAAAACCAAAGCTCCTTTCTCTCTGGCGAAATGAGAAAACAAATGGGCCCAAAACAAATTCGCTGATGGATTTAGGTCAGGACCACTCTTGTGGGCTGGATAGGGTACTCAGGGCTTCAAATGTATAATGGATGAGTAGGAGGCACCCACCTCCCTTTCCAGCTTTAAGATGTTTGAGCCAAGTGGATGGAATGTGTTGTTTCTGAGTCCTACTTGCTGATCAGATTTGCTTGAAAGTTGGCTGCTTGCCTCTCCCAAGAACTGGAAGAGTATTCTCATTGCATTCTAGAAAAGGATTAGGTTATCAAGACTTCCTTAGAAGTTTGTTTCATGAGCCACCCTCAGACTCAAGCTTCTGTCTCAGGCTGCGACTGGGTACTAATTCCAGTGTGGGTCCTGGAGTTAATCAAGGGTGGAGTCTAATCTGTAGGCTTTTGATC